AGGGATTTTGGTATTTGCTGTGAACGAGATTGTGCCCCCCATTCATGTATTTGGAGACAGAACCCTCACAGAAGTGACTCCGGTGCAGTGAGATAAGGGGTCATAGCCCTAATTTGATGAAGACTGACGTCCTGAGGAGAGACACCACATGAGAGGACACCTTGAAAAGGTGTGGTCTGCAAACCAGGAAGAGAGGCTTCACCAGAATAAGCCCCTGCCCGCTAAGTCCTCTCCCCTTGTAAGGATTTAGATGTTGATCCAGGCTGTTTAACTTCCAGAACCCTGAGACACAAATGTTTGTTGTTTAAACCACTGTCTGTGGTATTTTTCTATGGTAGCCAAGTGGATCTATCTCTGATGATTCTTGCCTAAATCGATGATCTAATGGGGGCTGCAAAATGGAGTTTTTCTAGTTCTAACATTCCTTCTAGTGTATTTGTTGGTGATTTTCTATAAAGGAAAAGCTCTCCCTCACCAACTGGGAATGAGCTGCAGGTCCTAAAAAAAAAAAAAAAAAGGCAGGATACATGCTTAATTCTCCAAGGGAATGTTTTTGTTTTTTCTCTTTAAATGGGAAATTCTAGAACCTGTTTGTGTGCTGGGAGGATAATTCTATGGAGAGGGAGAGATGAATGGTGCGGAAGGGGGGACTAAGGAAGGTGTGAGTCTTCACAGGGGAAGAGGATTTAGGGGGGAAGGGAGACAGGGAGGGATGGAACTGAAAGTTGGAAGATAGAAAAGGTGTGAACTGGTCATCAGTTGGACACAAAGGGCCAGCTTACTGGGATAAGCATTGCTGGGCCTCAGTGATGGCCTTTGGAGGCCGGGAGTTGTGACTTTGGCTGCATGGCAGGTGGCTTTCTTCTCTGCACCCAGAGAAGATGGCTGGCTGGATTCCTCCAGGCTGGGGAGTTTCCCAGGCAAGTGCACTGGAGGGAGAAGGCAAGGCAGTGCAGGTTTTAGCAAAGGACAAGGGCTTGACAACAGAATGCAAGCTGGCTGAAACAGAAGTGAGAGTAGGAAAGTGGTGGCTGGAGCAGAAATCAAAAGTCCCAGCAGACTGCTGGACTTTGATTTTTGGTTTTGATATCATTTTTCAGAATTGTTTTAAAGGATCATGAGTTGGTACCAGAAGGATAGTGAGCGATTTCAAGAGAATTCTGTCATCTTTTGCCCTATCCCCATCAATCTCCTATGCTGCTTAGATATCAAGGACTAGATATGATTCCTCCATAAGCACCCAGCACCCAATCTGGCACAGAGTAGAGACAGAGAAGGTATGAATGAATGAATGAATGAATGAATGAGTGAATGTCAGTAAAAACTTATATCACTGACTATGTGCCAAGCACAGTCTAACAGATCATTGATTGGGATCAACTATTATCCCGTTTTATAGGTAAGGAAACTGAGGTTAAAATAACGTGTCCAGGCCCTCCCTGGTGGCGCAGCGGGTTAAAGCACAGCACTGACAATCTAAAGCCGCTTCCGCATGAGTTCAATTCCCGCCTGCCCCGGAGGTGACCACATGGCGTGGCAG